AGTTATAAGTTTTATACACTGGACTACAAGGAACTTCCATCAGAAACAAAAATATACTATTCTAAATCAACTTTTCGCGATGTTTTAAAATGTGCAATTAGACTTTTTCTATAACTTCTAAGTTTTAATATTATTAAAAAATAGTTTTTACATATAAAAAAAAATTAATTAAAACAAAAAAAATTGTTTTAAATTAATACTGATTTGATATAATATTTAATATTAATTTGATTATTAATAAGTTAAAAATAAGGAAAATGACATATTTAACCTATTTTGTTAATCGCNAATTTGTTACTTATGAATAAATACACTGGACTACAAGAAACTTTCATCAGAAGCAAAAATTTACTTTTCTAAATCAACTTCTCGCGTTGTTTTCAAATCTGCAATTAGACTTTTTCTATCAGTTATACATTTTTATATTATACTAATTACATATAAAATAATAATTAAAAAAAAAAAAAAATGTTTTCAAATTATTACTGATTTGATTTTTAATATGTTAAAAATATGCATTATAATAATATATTATTTTATAATTACTATTTATAGTAAATTTATCAGAGTAACTCAATATTTTTTTGCATTTTTATCGTCATAGATAACTTAAATAGAAATAATAGTAATCATTTCATAGTATCTTTTGGTGTTTAAGAAGATACTACAATTAAAATATGAACTGAATTAATTTTAATGTTTTACTTTAACTAAAATAACCAATAAATAGATACGAATTGTAGTAATTTGACGTATTGTTGAAAAAAGTAGGTCAAGTTAGAGCAGAGAAAATAAATGATAGTCACAAAAAAATATCTTCTCAGCTTTGCATCGAAGCTAAAACTTAAAATATAGTAAAATAATTTTAATAATAATTTTAAAATAATTTAAAATAATTTTAATATGAATAAGAAATTTCTTCTTGCAAGGAGCGACTAAAGTGATAGGGTCCTTGATCTTTATTGAAGTTATTGAATGTAAATGAGATAAAAATCAAACGAGTTAAAAATTTATACTAACTTAAAAAGAATTAAGAAAAAATGCAAAAAATTCATTGCTAAACGCGGATTGGAACCTCGTACCCCAAGCGTGTAAAACATGAATTTTACCAACTCGACAACCGTACGTTGCGCTTCCGTCGCTTGAAAAATTGGCTATTTAAGCTAATTCAAATTTCAAAGTTATTTTTCTTGACTTAAAAGAAACAAACAAATTTAAATAAGTTTAACTATCTATACTATATCAATTTTAATTTATATAATATTTATGAAAATCTGTACTCCCCTTGTCAGGTATTTTAAAATAAAATAAAATACAAAACCCAGAATTTTAACACAAAAATAGCATATTTTTGCATACGGATGTCATTTTCACCATGAAGACAAGTCCAGAGGTCAAATTTTTTTTTTTCAAATTAAAGTATATTACATAAGCTTTAATTTAAGATATATATAAAAGTGTCAGTATTTCCGGAATACTTTCAAAAATTAAATTGAAAATATCTTAGTAACAATACGCATGTTTAAAGTTTTGACCCCCCTTGTTAAAGGGGTATGATCCGATTTACAAAAAAAGCGTGCCAGATGAAAGGGGTATATAAATATTTATTATAAAAAAATAATAATATTGATCCATACATTTTTCCAAAAGTTATATAAAATATAAATTAAATAATATAACATATAAAATCGAGATTTTTTTCACGGAAATCGTACGTTTTTTTTTGCATACGGTAGTCATTTTCACCATGAAGACAAGTCCAGAGGTCAAATTTTTTTTTTTCAAATTAAAGTATATTACACAAGCTTTAATTTAAT